AGTTCATTGACGGAAGACTAGTTAGTGTCGACTCCGAGTTGTATTTGTCCGCTTATTGTTGTCTAATATTTAAAAAAAAAATTATTTTTTTTTTCTTTAAATAAGGGACGCGTTTTCAGACGGGAGAAGGGAAAGATCATGAAGACGAAGAGCGGCCAAGCTGCAGTGTACACGTACAACGGCAGATGGAGGTTCTACCGCACTCTCCTGTTCTTGGATCGGAGCAAACCTGTACTTTACCGGGAGTGAAACGAGTTTTACCAACAGGATCCCAATAGAGTGGGTAACGTTTGGCGGGTTCAACGATTCGTTCAACTTGATTCTTGAGACCTATCGAATGAAACGTTGGGGAGCGTTCGTTGATGGAGGTCACCGAATCCCATTAGCTTGAGTGACGTCCGAGCTCTGGGTTTGCTCTACACGTTTCAGCATTTTGTTTCGTTCACTCGTATTAATCAAAATCTCTTGAAGTGCTGGTAGTCGCTGGATGAAGCTGCGAGACACTATCCCAGGGTTTGACTGCCGGCAGCCCGCGCGTTGTGTCTTGGCCGGAATGCAGTTTCATACAAGCTTCAGGGCCACGAAACAGTTTTGGACCTCAAATGGAGTGTACAGAGTCCTCCATTGAGTAAACTTCTTTATTTCTTTTCTTAAATTTTGCAAGTCAAACGGCTAACCGCCGGTGAGCCTTCATGGGCCCGACCTGCCGCTTCTCTTTAAAAAAAAAACAACTCTCGCTTCCCCCGCAATATTACGGTGGTGACATCTACTATTGATCACGCAACCAATCGGCCTCCTCCCTTCACTACTAAAACTCTGTCTCCCTCTCTCTATCTTTCTCTTTATCTCTCCCTCAATACTCTGAACAGTAAATGGCCGACATTTGCAATATTCTGCCGTGCGAGCGGTGCTTCCTCTACCGTAACGGGAGCTCCGGACTCGGAGCGAAAATAAAAGTTTTTTCTCTCTCTCTCTCTCTCTCTCTCTACCGTAACGCATTCGTATTTCTTTTGCCTTTCCAGATGGACAGTGAGACAGAATTGGCGTCTGTTATGACCGAGATGAGAGAACCCGTCCTTGGCACGTCTTCCGCACGCACAGCGCGCGAAACAACGAGTCCCAATGTGGAAGCGTCTGGCGCTCCTGTGAAGCGCCCAAAATGCAATGACGGAAAAAGGAAAGCAGATGACTGCTCCAGCTCTGGGTGGAAAGAGCGCACGGTTGCTTTCACTAAAATTGCCGAAAGTTTCGCAACTAACCAAATTGGCGACGACGCTGACAACTTCGGAAGAGTAGTGGCAGGTCACATATGAAAAACCTGAATGGCATCAATTTTATTCGGTGTCAAATTGAGGTATTGGAACTAGTCAAGCGTTACCTAGACAGACAGTAATAATGAATTTAATTCAACGCACCCTATACAAACTAAAAAATAATAAACCAAAATTAGCATTTTCCATTCGTATGTGAAAGGGAAACTTCGAAACGAACAAGTGTTTGTATCCTTTGCCTTTCGTACTTACTACATTCGGAACTGACGGCTGTTTTTGTTGGAGTGGGCCAGTGTATTAGATTGTGACCAATATTATAGCATGACGAAATAAAAAAAATAAGGAAACATTGAAGATTCTTGGAAGTCTATTTACATAAAGTTGAACAATTAGAGTATAACACAAAACGTTTTGGTGGTAAACGTGCCAAAACATGCATGAACGATTGTTAAGTAAATAAAGCAATATACAGACCATGAAATGGTATCTATATATACACTCCCCGTTCTTTGCTTCTGCACATGTCTGCACATGCAGATAAGGTTAAATTTTGTTATTTATCCACAGATTAAGGCCCGCCTGTTCTGTCTGCCACGCGACGGCGCCTTCGTCATTAAAGATTTTTCCCCGCTTTGATCACTCCTGCAAGTTGCGGCCCATTTTTTCGTCAACTACTTCATACAGTAATTCAACTTTGCCTTTGGCAATAAACGATTGGAACATACTACCAAATGCCATTGTTACCATAACTGACACACGTAAATGTGCCGCCTCTGTAATCACTTTCATTTCTGCTTTATCCGACTAGTTCCCTCTTCTATTGCGTTAAAATTGCGTGCGAAAGTGTTCTATTCAGAAAAAACAAAAAGCAAATGTACTACTCCCTTATGTAATAGCCGTAAGGGCCTTCAAGGATAATAAATGATGAATGATGATGATGAAAGCATCTCCGTAGGCGCTCACGCACATCCAGAGCTCTTGCCCCGGAGCGCCCTTTGGAACTTCGTAGCCCGAAGTAGATTGTCCCTTTTCGCTGGTGGTCCTCCCTCGACGCTTTAAAAAGCGTAGGTGCAGCTCGAAAATAGTTGTGCAGCACACACGCTGCCTTGACGAATGAGGTGACCCTTTCTGGTTCGGCATCGGTGTGCAAAACCCTAAAACGGTTTGTCAAAATGCCAAACGCATTTCTGCTACCCGTCTGGCTAAGCTTAATCTGAAAAAAAAAAAATAAAACTATAAGGAAAACGATGTTTAGAAATGACACGATGTAGACAACACACCTGTAATTAAATGTATTTTTTTTCTTCATCCAAATTTGTACCAGTGTACGGATTCATCAAGTTTAGAGACAAGGGGAAGGCGTCCTCTCCCACGATGACGGATCGGACGTCGACCGGTACATGTCCAGAGATCGGCAATCCGGCTGTTCCGTTCTCGATGGCGTTCCGCAGTGGTGTCGTCCTCCAAATACCTCCATCTCCATCAGACCCGGGTGCGCCGACATTAATCTACAAAAACCTGCTGTCTGCGTCCACAAGAGCAAAAAGCACAATAGTGAAGGTATTCTTGTAATTAAAATACACAGATCGAGAGTTTGAAGGTCTGATAATTGTGACATGTTTTTCGTCCAGCGCTCCAATACATTGCGGAAATTGCCATGTTTCGTAAAAGTTCCTCATTACTGCCAGCCACTCGTCCTTTGTCCGCGGGGACATCAGATATTTTAGTCCCAGCATCTTGTAAATGGCGTCGCAAGTTTCAACGAGGAACCCGTTGACGGCGCTGTGGCTAATGCGGAATGTTGACTTTCCCTTGAAAATTCGCAAGAAAACAAGAAACACGGCACAGTCGAGCGTAGTTCTCAAATATGCTGAAACAAGGACAAAAGTAAGAAGAATAACCACACACCTGAGGCAAGAAACCGCAGCGGCAGTTGAAGTTTGTTTTTGGCTGGGATGGCTGGACGCATTTCAGTGTCAAGTTTTTGGATGCATGATGCAATTGACGAGAGAATCTCAGCAAACTGGTCGGAGTTAACGCGCCGAAAGCGACGGTACTCTACGGGGTCGCTCTCCAGAAGTTCTTGATAGAGTAGATTGTGTATACCGAGCTTCTTCTTGGACATCCATGCTTTAATCCATGGCTTCTTTGCGTCGGTATTAGGTGCTTCCGCGACTTCCTCATCCGTCATCATGATGGCACAAGCCACAACTCGTGAAGCCTTGTTGGCCTCCATGTTGGTATCGAAACCAATTTTCTGTCCTTTTCTTTCTTTTTCTTTTCGGCTCCTTTTTCCACCATGCGCAGGAACCCTCGAGCATCTTCCACAGCTGTAGCTCGTGCGTACTAATCGTACTGGAAAATGAGCAAAGGCTCATCCGTGTAGGAAAATCGTGAGAGGCATATAAAAAAAAGAGAAAACCGCTCGTGCAACGAAGTGTACCACGAGCACTTTCACGCGATCGGTTCCCGGGCCTGTCCGCGGGCCACAGCGGACTCGAAAAAAGGCAGAATTGGATCGCGTTCAAAACTCCTATCATCGTGGTCCGGCAGGTCCGCGGACATAATCTGTGACCTTCGCCCACGTGATACGCAAGATACATCAGGTCCGAGGACATGTTCTTCAGGTCCGTGGACATGTCCCTTGGTTTTGACGGCTGTTTTCGCCAGAAACATGGCCGATTTCATACCCCAGAAGAGGTGACGTCACGCCTTTTGTAGGAACGTGTCCGCGGACAAAGTCCTTCGTGTGAATACACCTTAATAAACCGAAACGGATGCCTGTTCAACATTCAGTGAACGTTGAAGGTTGAATGTAAAAGTTACCTGGCCAAAGCAAAAAGGTCATTTTATGGTCCCTTTAAACGAGTTCTATCTGAAGGTCTTTTAGATGCCCGTGAAACGGATGCAATAGTATACGGCGAGTAAGTGTTCGAAATTGCGTCTGCGCATTGAAACGCAGTGCGGGACACGCCAATCAAAGGGCACCCCGACGGCACGCAGGGAACGCTCGATGGCATGTCCTCAATAATTGAGGTCGGGGAAAAAATGCACGTCGGCGCATGCGGCAGGTAAACGTACGAGGTCCGCCGGAACTGGACAAACCTGTGCGCCGTATAAGACGAATTCTCGCTCTACCCTGTTCGGGCCGAGTCATCAACTTCTTTCAAATGCATAGCATTTATAGGGACAGCCTTTAGGGCTTCGGTGGCAGTGCCATACCTACTAGAAGACAAGGGCTGCAAGTTTCCTCTCCAAGTGTCATCGCTGGTGGATCCATGGGCAGCGCTGCGTACTTTGCGTCAGTGTCACCACTAGCGCGTTTCGCAGCGCGTCGCAACGAGCGCGACGCTAGCACGCGGCGCGTCGCCAAGACATGCGGCTTGGCGACGACTTCCGTCGAGCTTCGAGTGTTTGCCGCTTGGGGCGGGTCGGGGATCCACAAACGATGACGTCATGAGCGGGTCTTTGGCCTCTAGCTAGTACACTGGTCCGTGCGTGGAATGTAGCCTCGACGGAGAGGATGGCGATCCTTGACGAAGAGAGAATGATGACGTGACATTGTGAAGTCGAGTGACAGTGTGAACGCTCAGGAGAGCGTGCTGTCACCTGACACAATGACGTCACGAGGCATCAGGATGATAGAGAGGACCTACAAATGCTAAGTGATCAGAGTGCCTTCTGGAGTGTACCAAAAAAAATAGGCGTTCTTTTTTTTTTTTTGCTTACGGAAACAGGTGGTCACGCTGCCAGGGAAGGCTGCCGGTGTCCCAGCGGTTGGTCCAGCGCTCCAGCGGCGACATGCCGGGCTTGCCTTCAACTTTCATCATTCTGGCTTTCAAGGAAGGGAAACTGCAGAGAGAAACGCAGTCGGGTCGGTCCTTATACAGACAATCTAAAGTGGTTCCGATTTTCATTGCGAACACTTGATTCTGTTTAATCCAACTTGAAACATCACCGATATCACAAAAAGTGGGCTACTTTATGCCCATATTGCCTAAAAAAATGTATTGGAAGTTGCATTGAAACCATGCCCCTCCACAGCAGCTCGAGAGCGCAATAAAAGGGGAAAGGAAAACGAGAGCGTTGCATGCGCCGTGACGTTGCAGTTTAAAGGGCAACTCCGGCCAAAACTCAAAATGAAATAAATTACTGGTAGCGCTGTAGTGACACAAAATACGACTCCACCCAAAAAATTACGTCCGGGGGACGCCGCATTTTCAACTAATGCCGATAATAAAAATGCGACCCGCCGCGAGCCGCTGCTCCTTAGCGGGCGGCCAGCGGGTTGCCGATCGCTAAGGCAACATTGGGCCGTGACGTCAGTATCGCTCTCTTTTTTTTCCTCCGGTCCGGGCGTTGTGCGGACTGCGCTTCTTTGAGCCGGTACCACAGCTACTTCGGCTTGTGATTTGCGTGTTGAGTCATTGAGCAACTCGGTGCGCCCAAGACTGCCCAGCTGTTCCTCGAAAGATGCCGAGTACAACTTGTAGCGCTGTGGGCTGCTTAAACAACCCGCTGCACAACCCGGAGGTGCTTTTTCACAAGTTTCCTACGGACCGGAAATTGGAGAAGGTGTGGATGAACGCTGTTCGACGAGTGGATTTTGGACTTCGGCTTTTATGCGCCCGAGGAAAAAAGAACGAAAAAAACAGATGTGTACAGCCCAGCACACGAGAGTTCGGGCGCCGCGGCCCACTCTGGAGAGCCTCAAAGCTTCGTGTCTGCCCACGTAGCACGAGAACGTTCTGAGAACATTCCGGGAATGTTCAAAATAACATAGACAACATTCTTGGAATGTTTAAGATTTACGTAAGGACATTCTATCAACGTTGTCAGAATGTGGCGCAGGCACTTATCGCTACATTCGGGGAATGTCTTCAATGGGATATTCTTAGAACGACATAGAACATTACCAGGTCATTTAATCAACATTTGAAACATCCTAACAAGGTTCTAAGAACGTTCTCAGTACATCCAAACAACTTCTGCAACATTATCTGAATGTTGCAAATTTACGTAAGAACATTCTTTCGACGTTGTCAGAATGTGGCGCAGGCACTTATCGCTACATTCGAGGAATGTTTTCTATGGGATATTTTTAGAACGTTCTGAGCACGACAGAACATTTAATCACCATACTAACAAGGTAGGGACACTGACACCCCCCAAAAAAAATTTTTTATTTTTTGCCAGGCGCTTTATTATGGTGTCGGAGGACTACCCAATTAATATTTTGCAACAGAGTAGCGTATTTTTTTAATAAAGCCAAAAGACGCAACTGCTCGAAACCGAAACCGAAACCCGACGGAGGTCGGAGAAGTGGAGAGAAGACAGTGACTGGCGGAAGTCACGTGGCTACACCCGACCTCTATGCACCCGACCGTGCGTTTTGTTTTTGTTTTTTTTTCTCTCCTCTTCGGTAGCAGACGACACGGCGTGCGATACGGCGTGCGGGAACTGCTTGCCGTGCGATTCTTTTGCAGTTATGTTTGTTCCGCTCGTTGTTATGTACTCCAAGATGAGTTGTTTTGTACATTGAGGAGTTGGAGATGAGTAGTGAGTGCCCGTGGTGAATTTCCATGATCGGCTCCGAAAAGAATAAACCCAAGATGTTGCGTGAAGAGCTGGCTCACATGTCCTGCATCCGAAAAAAAAGTGGCATTGTGCGACAGAGTTTCCGAAAGATCAACGGGATCGGGACCAATGGCTGGCTGCAATTCCTGTAGAACATATACGGGCACCTCGGAAAGCGGACGCTACCTGATTTATATGCTCCTTGCATTTTGTGGAAAGTGATTACATTGAGTTCGCAAGTGTCAAAACGGAAATCTCATACCGTTTAGTTCAGCGAAGTATCGTCCACAACATTTGTTTGTTATTTTTTTGTTCGTTTCTTCAGTGATGATTGTAAAAAAAAAAAAAAAAAAAAAGATATGTAAACATCGGAAATTGTTTGAAGAAAACAACAAAAAAAGTTAAAGGGGGATCGAACCCGGTCCCACCGCGTCTGAAGCGGACGTCTTTCCCACTGAGCTACTGGGGGCATCCCGTTTTTAGTAGTTCTCTTTCCTTAGTAATAATTCAGCCGGTAAACTGTAACTTGGAAAGTTTGCTGTCGATTTTTCTCTAGCAAAAGCACTCCCGGGTCGAAGTCGGGAAGCACCACGCTTTGGGGACATTCGCACCTAGTAAAGAAATCGTACGCGTGCATATTCAACTCGAAGTAGACACGTCGTGCTTGACGTTTGCGCGAGCGTTGTCTTCAGCCACGAGAAGGGAGCGACGGCTCGGCGACGTCTTCGTGCAAATCGGCTTGGTGGCCGGGCGTGTCGTACAGGATGAATACCAATTCTTTTGATCAGTCCCAAATTTCTCTTTTAACGGTAGACAGAATTCGCCGGTACCGCGAACGACAGTTCTGAAATAGAGGTCCCACGCCCGTCGTCCGCTGCCATCGCCGTTCCCGCGAGTCCCACGATACGCGAAACGACGAACGCACAGAATGCTTCCGGTTGTCTGTGGAACTTTTTTTTTTCAATCAACGTATTTACAGCTTTTTAGAAGCCACAAAAAATGGGTTTCATATTTTTTTCTATTTTTAATATTTAGTGTGTGCCTTCAGTGACCCACGACTTTGATTAAATTTGGTGGTCGCATCGATACCTTAGAAAACGGCCCGTGACCGCGAAAAAGAGAGTGAGCGAGACTCGAACCGGCCAATTCTTGATCGGCGGTTTTCGGGCGGAAAGAAACCGAATTTCGAGCTGCAAATTTTGTTCTGGGTAGTTGAGCTCCCATATGTCACGTACAACTAAAAACCTCGGCGAGCATAAATACCCTGTCAGTGTCCCTTTAAGAACGTTCCTAAAACATCTGCAACATTCTCTGAGGAATGTTTCAAAGATTCCACAATTATGGCTTGCATAGCTTACAGCCCCACTGAGCCGTACTACATATATTCATATAATAAATCTCCTCACACAGCGATCAATATTTTTTAATCGGAATATATTTTTTCCAGGCCTAGCGCAATCTAGCCGCTTTTCTAGCGCATTAGCCAGACCCTGTACTATAACGGCAGTTTACTCCTACTTATAAAACATGCTGCATACATAACCGATTACTCACTCCGAGCATAAGAACAGATACCTACGGCATTTCACACTCAAGCGAGACATTCCTTCTTCAAGGTATTGAATCCGAGATGCTAAAAATCAGGTCTATTCAAAACTGCCCCTCTACATACGCAGTGAGTGCCAAGCTCATTATCAAATTTTGAAGACCATTACTTTTCTCTTACACCTTATCTCACATTCCTCGGTAGACTCGTCTAAGATGAAACTGATCCCTTATGCTAAGTTTCCAAAACCTACACTTAATTTGCATATTTTTGGCACAAGGTGGCATATCGTGGATGGTGTTTCGAAACACAGGTTGCTTGAACGCTCCGTAAAGTTGGCTTCACCTGCGAAAATTCTAGGAATGTTGGCAAGCGAACGTTCCGAGAATGTTGCACATATGAATGTTCAAAGGGGAACGTTCCAAGAAGATTGTGCATACGAATGTTCGCCAACAAACGTTTCTAGAATGTTGAGCAGCTTACCTTGTAAGGAATGTTCGCATACGAACGTTCCTAGAACGTTCCGAATGGTGTTTTAACGTTCCTTCAACATTCAGAACACCCAGGGAATGTTCGCACGACATTGGATGCTACGTGGGTGGGACTGACCCGCAGCGCTAAAGCGAGAGGGCACCAGTACTGTACGTCACTGGCAGCGCGGCGTAGAGCAACGCCGCTCCGTCCATGGAGCCCCGAAGACAATTTAGGCCTAGCGACGAGTACGGAAGACCGCACGCACGGCGACAGCTGCCGAGTACGGCACCGAACGAGTTCACTCGTTTTCCACTCGCTAGCTTTTGGGTATGCAAGCGACGAGTACGGCATAGCGCACGCACGGCGGCGGCCGCCGAGTGCGGCACCGAACGAGTTATGCCTGATTCACATGGTGCGAATTTGCCTGCGATTTCGCAATTGCGACGCCGTTCTTGCGGCCCAACGCAGTTGCGGTGCGAATTCAACTAATTCGCAACTCCGTATTTTGCCAAACTTTCCTTGCGAACGACCGCTCTTGCGAAGGGGACTGACAGCCAATCAAACGCGGCTCGTGAAAGACGTCACGGTGGTCATAGCAACGTGGGAATCAAAAATACGAAAAATGCGTCACCTACGTCGTCGTCTTCAAAATTCGCCGCGGGGGTGGGGCGGCGGGTGTGCTTCTTCCATGTGAATATTTTTCGCCGGGGGATGTAAGCTTCAGTACGGCATTAAAACGAACTGGCGTTTGCGTACCACGAGAGGGTTGTGGTTGCTTCCTTTGTAAAATTGCAGGCGGTAACAATTGACGCTTCTGTTCGATCACCTTGCGTAAGGGACTCGTGGCATAGAAGAAAGATCCTTTCTTCAAATCGGTTTGCAGATGACACGAAGGTCTGTCTAGAAACTGAGAAACGCTGAACAGAACCTTGTTATTAAAGCCGTTTGATAAAAATCGAGCTTCACATTTTTACATATAGTGAGAATAACTAAGTGATATGTAAACGCGCTGGACGCGTGCTACGCGAGCGACACGCGTGTAAAATGGCTTTAATTACAAAGTGCCGATCAGCGATTCTCGGTTTCTGGACAGACCTTCGTGTCAGATCCCCAAACAGATTTCAAGAAAGGGTCTTTTTACTATTCAATGAGTCCCCTACGCAAATGTCACACGTGCCACGCGTGACATTTGTCATAGAAATCCTGTGACAATTTGGTTTTGTGCATAGTTTGCGATTATTTCACCAACATGATTGTTTTGGCTTTTTTTTTCTTTTTTTCATCTGAAAACCTGTGGTTTTTTTTATTTATGTCGTTTCC